AAGTCACATAGGCGATTTTGAGTAAAAGTCGTCCTAAAACTTAGTAGAATGCTAATTTGCTATGATTTCAAACATTAGACACCTAAGACTAGTTTTAATTGACATGTTATGATAAAGAAATAGCTCATTAGATAATAAATGTAGAAATCGGGCAAAGTAGAAGTCAAATAGGCGATTTTGGGTAAAAGCCGTCCAAATACTTAGTAAAACCTTCTTCTGATGCGATTACAGACCTTAGACACCCAAGACTAGTTAATATGGGTTTGCTCTAAGGAAAAATTAGGTCATTTGATACAAAATGCAGAAAATGGGAAAGTGAGCACCCGAGGCAACTACAGCACCCGAGGCAACAGCCTCGGGTTATGCCAGGCAGCTGCAAGCATCCACCAGGCAACTGCAACAGCTACCAGGAAACAGCCCAGGCAGCCGCAGCAGCAGCCTAGGTAGCTGCCCAGGCAGCCGCAGCAGCAGCAGCAACCACTTGGCAGCTGCAGCAGCAGCCAGGCCATTGCTGCAGCTGCACAGGCTGCTGCAGCAGCCACCAGGAAACTGCACAGGTAGCTACACCAGCCACCAGACTGCTGCCAAGGCAGCTGCTGCAGCAGCCCAGGCAGCACCCAAGGCAGCTGCAACAGCCGTGCAAGCAACCGAGCCGCTCCAAAAGCCATGGGAAGCAGCCCGGGGAGTAATTTATTGGCCTATTCATGGCACCTCATGCTATTTTGTGTAATTTTTGCGTACTTGTTAGTGTAAAGCTAAATAAGTCACTTACGCCGATTTTTGTTAAAAACCGTACTAAAACTTAGTTGGGTGCTCATTTGATGTGATATCATAAATTACATGCCTAAGACTAGGTATTATGGGCATGGTTTGAGAAAAAAAAATTCAAACGAAATAAAATGTAAAAAATGGGCAAGTAGAATTGGAATAGGCGATTTTGGGTAAAAGTCGTCCTAAAACTGAGTAAAATGATATTTTGCTATGATTTAAAACAATAGACACCTAAGACTATTTAATAATGATAATTTATGATAAAGAAATAGCTCATTATATAAGAAATGTAGAAATCGGGCAAAGTAGTAGTGAAATAGGCGATTTTGGGTAAAATCCGTCCTAAAACTTAGTAGAATGCTAACTTGCTATGATTTCAAACATTAGACACCTAAGACTAGTTATAATTGACATGTTATGATAAAGAAATAGCTCATTAGGTAAGAAATGTAGAAATAGGGCAAAGTAGTAGTGAAATAGGCGATTTCGGGTAAAAGCCGTCCTAAAACTTAGTAGAATGCTAATTTTCTATGATTTCAAACATTAGACACCTAAGACTAGTTATAATTGACATATTATGATAAAGAAATAGGTCAATAGGTAAGAAATGTATAAATCGGGCAAAGTAGAAGTCACATAGGCGATTTTGGGTAAAAGCCGTCCTAAAACTTAGTAGAATGCTAATTTGCTATGATTTCAAAAATTAGACACCTAAGACTAGTTATAATTGACATTTTATGATAAAGAATTAGCTCATTAGATAAGAAATGTAGAAATCGGGCAAAGTAGTAGTGAAATAGGCGATTTCGGGTAAAAGCCGTCCTAAAACTTAGTAGAATGCTAATTAACTATGATTTCAAACATTAGACACCTAAGACTATAATTGACATGTTATGATAAAGAAATAGTTCATTAGAAAAGAAATGTAGAAATCGGGCAAGTTAGAAGTCAAATAGGCGATTTTTGGTAAAGTCGTCCTAAAACTTAGTAGAATGCTAAATCGGGCAAGTTAGAATGATGTTTGAAATATTTAACATATACATTATTATTTTTTAATTATTAGTTTGAATTTTATGTAATATATGAATGATGTTTAATGTTTGGTATTTTTTTCTTTCCACAGGTTTGTAAGAATCAAAGGGAAGGCCCTTTGACAAGGGAAGAAGTTGATGAAATTCGCGACATGTGGGCTTTTTTTGTGACATTGGATGACACCTAGGTAGAATATATAATATACGTGTTAGTTAGATAATGAATGAGATTGAGTTTTTTTTTTATTATGAACAATAATATTTAGTTACTATCTTTTTAAAATATATATGTACATTATATTACTTAATTGTAATTAGTACTATATATTATTTATGAGTTTTATATATGTTATTATTATTATGCATTTTATTGTTATTGAATTATTATTATTCTTAAATTTGTAATATTTTTAATTAATTATTAATATTAATTAATAATAATATTAATAATAATAATTTTTAAAATTACAAATTAATGTGCATGTCAAAACAGGTCACTAATAATATTATTATTATTAATTAATATATATATATAATTTTTTTTAAATATATATATATATATATATATATATATATATATATATATATATATATATATAAATGGCAAGCGGTTTGGCGCCAAAACCGCTTGCCATTCCCCCCAAATGGGAAGCGGTTCTGAACCGCTTGCCATTTACATGGCAATTGGCAAGCCCCCTAAACCCATGCGGTTCAGAACCGCTTCCCATTATGGGGTTTGAACCGCTTCCCATAACGTTTTTTCTACTAGTGGAAATTACTAATCTTTTTGGGAGCATATATTGTCGATGAATCGATGGTGCATGTACAATTTCTATAATCGCTTTTCCTTTGATAAATGAATGTATGCATCCTTCCTAAACCTCCTATTTGCGCTATATATTGGTAAAATTGATAGTTATATTCATCCTTTTTTCTTAAGATTGGAACAAACTAGCAAACTTGATGTTCTGTGGTTCAATGTTTGTTTTAGACGAGATTGCTCAAGCTAACATATACAACTCATTCTCTTCTTTAGTTTGGGTTGCTCCTGCTCATTGGCTAGCTATTCAGGCGCGACGTCGACATTTTCTTTTCTGGTCTTTTTAGTTTGTTTCATTATCTTTTGTTTTTTTCTTAGTTCTATTTGTCAAAAAAAAAAAAAAAAAAAAAAAAAAACCTCATTCTCTTCTTTGGTTTTTCTAATTTTTTGTGATCTCTTCCTCTATGGATTATTAGTGGAAAATTAGTTTTTGACATTCCAAAGATAGTATTGGTAGAATTTAAGACTGGAATTGAGAGAGTTTGCTATCATACTCGTACAACATAAGAAGATTCTTAGTTGTTACATAAGGGTTGAGTAATGATCTTGTCATCGAAAATAGACAATTTATTAAAAATTAGAGTACAATCCAAGATTCCAAGTACAACGACTCGGAAATTCCAAGCAGAATTAATTTACTAAATAAAGAATTCCTTACTAAATAAAAGATTCCAAATAATTTAAAATAAAGATTAAAATTATGATACTTCCTTACTTACTTATAAAAAAAACAAAGTAAGGCCCTGTTTGATTCACCTTGAAAAAATAATATTAAGTAAAAATAATTTCAGTTTAGTAAAAATAAGTTCAGTTCAGTAAAATTAATTTCAGTTCAATAAAAATAATTTCAGTCCAGTAAAAATAAGTTCAGTTCAGTAAAATTCAGTTTTCTTAAAGAAGAATTATAATAGAAAATCAGTAAAAATAATTTCAGTTCAGTAAAAATAATTTCACTTCAGTAAAATTAAGTTCAATTCAGTAAAAATAAGTTGAGTTCAGTAAAAATAATTTCAGTTCAGCAAAATTAAGGTGAATCAAACAGGGCCTAACTCCTATAACATTGATTAAGCAACTCCTGTAACATTAACCAAGTAACCTCTATACCACTAACCAATTAACCCTATAATACTGATAAAGTAAACTCTTTAACACTGAGTAAGGGCCTGTTCTAATAGACTGAAATCAACTGAATTGAAATGAACTGAACTAAATATTTTATAAGAGAAGAAAATTAGGAGATGAGTAGAACTGAACTGAAAATAAACGTATGAGAACAAGCCCTAAGTAATTTGAAACCAACAGAGTATTTTATCCATTTAAGAATGAGACCACAATGCAGAAGAAATGCCGCCATGTGTACAATGTACGTACGCCACGAATATAAAATAAGTGTGGGAAGTTGACCCGTTAAGCGGTTCGGAAAGTTGGTGCAACCGATAGAGAAGTTGGATTTGGGCCCAAGTACTTAATATTTTTTCCAATGTGTTTACACCTACGTAGATTGATTTGTTGAATGAATCATATGCGTATCGCTTTTCCCGGCTACCTGCGTGTTTTATTGTGTTCCCACTTTTGTGTTCCAAAGTTTTTTAATCATACTCACATTGTATCTGTTAAATTATATGGTTATAATCTTAACTTCTTAAGTCATGAGCCTAAATACATCAGTAGATCATTCAATTTTTCACTCAATGGCAAGGTTAACTCGATCTTATAAAATTATTGGCTTCTAGCTAATTTGTACCCCAATGATTAAGGGCAAGTTTGCTTATCACACATTGATAGACGATTAATTTTTCTTTTGGTATAGACAATGGTATTGACAAGATTTTATCACAGATTTAGCATAGAACCCCAATTAACTTTTCTTTTTTTTTTTAAACCACAACCCCAATTAACAAAATAAGCTACAATTATGAATTATTTCATTATATTTTTGTTAAATGTAGTTTATGTTTTGCCGGACCCAAGACTTGTATTAGATTTTGATGAATTTTTTTAATTTTCTGCTAATTTAGGAGTATAAGGGTTTTTTTAAAAAAAAATATTTTAAATGAGAAAAACAAAAAAAATCTTGAATACCTATCTTTACGCACAACCGGATACATAAAATATTACTACCTCCGTTACATGTTATGTGCAACTATTGACATAAAACAGAGAGAGAAAATGTCTAATCGTTGCACATAACCTGTAACAAAGGTAGTATTTTGACCGAATCGAGTTCAAATAACTCGAGACAGCCCTTTGAGACATGCCAACAAACACAATACCTCAATTGGGCTTATATTTGGGTATTGTATTGAAACAAATCTTTATCTCCCCATTTAGAGCCCAATCAAAGTCCTCTCTCTTTAAGCCCAATAATACTACTTCACTACTTTCATCTACAATTGTACATAGTGAGAGAAAACTCAGCAGTTGCTCCTTCAGCAAGAAAACTTGACAAAACCCAGAACAACAGGAGAGAGAAAAGCGGCACACGCACTATCGACGAACAACTCGATTTCCTCGAATTCAGGTATTTCATTTTTCTTCAATTCAGTCTTTCATTTTGATTTCTACTGATTTTTCAATTTTATTGCATCTTTGTAATCTTAATTTACTTGTTAGATCTGTCATTTGTTCATTTTTATTTTCCAGAAATTGTGATTTAATTGCATGATCTTTAGGGTTTAAGCTGTAATTGAATTAATGTTGAATGTTATTTTGTGAAACTTAGCCGAACTTCGTAAAATTTGCTTTAGAATTTTATAATTATATTATTTATTTTTCCTAGATTTTGTTTTTGTCACATATAAAATTGTATTTGTTTGAATTGTATATCAAATCTATTGAATGTTAAAGTATAATATGTCATTTTCGAATTTGTTACTAGTTCATCTCAAAAGATATGGTCACATTTTTATTTTTGGGATTGATTGCTATACGAATATCATTTGGTTTAAAAGAGGAGGAATTAAGCTGTTAAGGAGATTGCAAATGTCTCAGTTTAAGGGGAGGGGAGTCGCGGATGAAGTTTCGGCCATCTTGTTAATCTCCTAATACACTTTAGACAATTGACCTAAGTTTTTACTTCTATTTAGGTTATCGGGTACTTCGAAATCAACAAGTGATATATGAGTTCTGAGGAATAAAAGATGGGCCTGATGGTGGGTGGTAATCTTTAGGATTTTTTATAACTTTGGATTAGGATAACTCAAAGGAGAGCTAAAACAAGCTCAGATTATGTTTACGAAGTATTTGATTGTAAAAAGGGATTTAAACTTGTTGATGTTGTACTGCTAATTTGATGTCAAATTCACTCTCCATTTGAAGCTATTCTCAACAATCAACATCTTCCATATTTCCATCACCTTTCAGTTATGGACCATTGGTATGAGTGTCATATAAGAGAATGACTTGTCATGGCTCAAACTTAGGTAATGGAGAATTTCGAGTTATATTGGATACTTTTGTTGGATACAATATAGTACTCCGACTACTCCCTCTATTCCTAAATAATTGCAACAGTGACATTTTTCAATGCACTAGTCTATGCCCATTAATATTTGTAATGAGTATAATTGTTAGTAACGTACTTGAAAAATATGTATTTAGACTAATTCAATACTTGTTACTCATATATTGTTCCCCCCTAAGCTCTCTTCTTTTCTTTATTGACCCTTCTCTCGTCTTTGCTAGGGATTCATAGTTGCGTCGTTGCATGAATTATCTATTTGTAATGTAAAGTGTTGGGCATGGGTTCATGAAACATTGCTTTGAGAACAACCTTTATAACAGTGTATTGGACATACAAATGTGTAACAGCTTTATAACAGTGTATTACATCAATATCTAATATCTTTTTTTTCCCCTTCTGATTTCCTAATTACTACTGATATTGCTTTAATAAGCTGCTACTGGGCCACAGTTTTAATTATAAGTAGTGAGAAGGCTTTATGTTATGAAAAGTTGTGTACATAGTATACATAATATATGAAGTTTGTAGATATTGAGATTGTTGACAATGTGTAACATTAAAATAATAACAACTGCTAATGTTTCTTAAACTTCTACAACTTTATTTTGAAAGTGTAGCATAATTAGTTTGCAGTTAAGGATTATCCTTGTCTTCCGCTAAAACTTGTAGTTCTTGGCTTTTTGGAATTATAGAAATCTTTTACATGAAATGCCTGAAATGCGTTCGAAATGTCCCAAAATATGCCATCTTGGCATCTCAAACATATCTGGTGTAAAAAGATCTGAATAAGAGTTTGTTGAAACAATTTGAAGGTATGTACCTTTATGCTTGCCAATTTGTGTAGGGATGGGAAAACCTGAACCTTACACAAAATGGGTTTTGGCTGAGATCTTCAAATGTCAACCCAAACCCAGCCTAAAAATTAAATGGGCTAGGTTTAACATGAAAAAATTTTAACTCACTAATAACTTGCCTAAGAAGTGCCTAACCCATTTAACTTATTTGATCAGGTTCAAGTCGAAATCCCAAACTCAACCCGTTGAATTCACCTTAGTGATATGACTTGTGAGTTGTGACCTAACCTATATTGGCCTTGATTTTAAATTTAGGGCCAAGCCAAATTCCTTATTTTGTACAAGTATTATAAAAATATTAAAAATATATATATGAAAAAATAATAAATATAGAAAACTTACTGTACAAGACTACGAGTATACCCTAATGTCTGGGTCATTTTTCCGCTTTTGTGCTTCTAGCTCCCCACTCTCTCTCTTCCCTAGTTTCAATTTCTAGATTTAAGATTGATCAAGTGAACTAGATCGATTTGACCTCTGAATCGCTACCGATTATCTTGAATTTCACTGTAAGTTCTTCAATTTTTTGTAGTTTTCGTCCCAAACTACTGTTTTTGGGTGTGGATTATGATTAATTTATTTGTATAATTCATTTGAATTTCATGCGTTTAGCTTGTGAGGCTGAAAATTGATTTATTTGTTCATTTCTTCTATTAGATCTTGTATGTTTGTTCATTTCTTAAGATCTGAATTAAGATTCTTGATTGAAATTATCGCCGTCTGAATATGTGTTATGGTTTTGCCGGTTGATTTCCACATATTTGCTGTCTGAATCTGAGTAGTTGTATGGTTCTGTTATTCCGTCACTTTGATGAGCAATTGCTTTAATCCCTTGAAAGCCCTAATTCCTCTAAAGCAACCCAGATTGAGATTACCCAGAAATGAATTCAACAAGTCCATCCTTTTCTCTCCTCTAATCAGCATGAGAATTATTGGGTTTTAAAGATGATTTGAAGGATGAACGAATACTTCATACCCTTTGTGGGAGGTTAATCAAGAGTGGTCTTTGTTGATTTGAATGTTGGGAACTATGTATTGAGTCAAGTGAAATTTAAAGAATTTAGATTCTGCCCAGAACCTGTTCGATGAAATGTTTGAGACAAATTTTCGTACTTGGACAGTTTTAATTTCGGATTTTTGCTCCAATTGGGTTGTTTTGAGTTGGGTTGGATATTTTTCTTGAATGCTGATGGAGGGTGTTTGTCCAAATGGGTTTACACTGTCTAGTGTATTCAAGTGTTCTTCTATAGGTTTGGTTTATAATGATAATGCATTAAGGCAATTGTTAGCTTTTCTTCTTAACTGAATTCAGCTTTTCCAATTTACTGCCTAACAGGCTATGGTTTCTGTGCTATTGGGGGATTCCTGGATTAAAACTTTTATTTTTAATTCTTTTTGATTTAAAAGCTTTTTTAGATGACCATGCTTTGAATTCAGGATGATGATGGAGCAGAACCCTGCCCGGGGGGGTGGGGGGTTACTTGCCTGTCTTGTTTATGATCCAACAATATGTTTCTTATATTCTATGGTCCACAACTTAGGCTTTGGAAAGTTTAAAGTTTGAAATCAGTTATTGACCTCCTTGCCAACCATTTTTTTTCTCTATCTTCTATTGTTACTTTGTTGCCATTTTAATTGATATTTATTTCTTAGTATCTTGTAATGTAATGCAGAATTAGTTTTCCTTGCTCGCCCATTTGAAGTTCCACTATGTATTGCGCGTACCCCAGCCTCTTTCTTTCTCATTTTTTTTTGGGTGTGCATGGGGACTGTACCTATACATATATTGTTAATAACTTAATGCTAATATTGCTTTATTTTGTTGTAGCAGGACTTTATTTGATCACCAATACTAAACAACAATGTCCAATTTTCTGCCTGCAACCACAGAATCCCTTGAACAGGCTCTGGAAGCAAATAGCGCTGCAGAGTCTATTACCATTCTGCAGCGAGTGCTTGCAGATCCATCTTCTTCACCTGATGCTTTGCGCATAAAGGAACAGGCAATCACAAAGCTCACTGATTATCTTAGGCAAGAAAACAAGGCTGAAGATCTTCGGATTCTTTTGACCCAGTTGAGGTCCTACTTTTCTATGATTCCCAAAGCTAAAACTGCAAAAATTGTGCGAGGAATCATTGATACAGTGGCTAAAATACCTAATTCAACTGAACTCCAGATCTCCCTTTGCAAAGATATGGTACAGTGGACTCGTGACGAGAAACGAACTTTCCTTCGCCAACGGGTTGAGGCCAGACTCGCTGCTTTGTTGATGGAGATCAAGGAGTACTCTGAAGCGTTGTCTCTCCTTTCAGGTCTGATAAAGGAGGTCAGAAGATTAGATGATAAACTTCTCTTAGTGGACATTGAGTTACTGGAGAGCAAGCTTCATTTCTCTTTGAGAAATCTTCCCAAAGCAAAGGCTGCCCTTACTGCAGCTAGAACAGCAGCCAATGCCATATACGTTCCTCCAGCTCAGCAGGGGACAATAGACCTGCAGAGTGGGATACTCCATGCCGAGGAGAAAGACTATAAAACTGCCTACAGCTATTTCTTTGAAGCTTTTGAGGCCTTTAATGCTCTTGAGGATCCCAGAGCAGTATACAGTCTGAAATACATGCTTTTGTGCAAAGTCATGGTGAATCAAGCTGATGATGTTGCTGGTATAATATCTTCAAAAGCAGGCTTGCAGTACTTGGGCCCTGATCTTGATGCGATGAAAGCTATTGCTGATGCTTATTCAAAGCGTTCTCTGAAACTCTTTGAGGCTTCATTGGTAAACTTTAAGGATCAACTGCAAGAAGATCCTATTGTTCACAGGCATCTATCATCTCTTTATGACACTCTGTTGGAGCAGAATCTTTGCAGACTGATCGAGCCATTTTCAAGGGTTGAGATTGCCCACATTGCTGAATTGATCGAACTTCCTCTTGATCATGTGGAGAGGAAACTATCTCAGATGATTTTGGATAAGAAATTTGCAGGGACTCTTGATCAGGGTGCAGGATGTCTTATTATCTTTGATGATCCCAAGACCGAGGCTATTTATGAAGCTACGCTGGATACCATTTCCAATGTTGCAAAGGTTGTCGACAGCCTTTTCGTCAGATCTGCTAAGATTATGGCGTAAGGGTACAAGCCTTAGGGTCTCAAAATGCTCCTGTTGTGGTTCTATGAAAGCTATTCGGAGTTATAGTCTGCCATTGTCTTTAAAAACGAAAATTTGTAGAAACTTTTTTTGATTTCTGTGTTTGCATATCGTCTCAGATCTAGCTTGAAATAGATATTTACCAGTCGATGTCTAATTTTGTCAACGGCATTTGAAGAATTGCTTTTGTTTAATAGCAAGGGCAATAAATATCTGTAGGTGATGCTGCTTGACGTTTGCTTTCTATTTGAATTGCTATTATTTCTGGTGTTACATCTGGTATATGCTGATGTGCATATAGGTATTTCACAAATGGTTTCAATTCTTCTTTAACAGAAGAATTATGAATTCTGTGTTACATTTGTCATTTCAAAATCACCATTTTTTTTCCTGAGACATTTGAAGTTCAGACCCTAATTCATCCTTTACTCATTGATGTTATACCAGTTAATGTAGTGTTTCATATTAGGATAGCTACAACATTTCAGAGATTATCTCCTTGTAGTACATGATATCACTTGAAAAGTTGAAAGGAAAGGAAATTAATTTCAGCTATCAGAGTACAGCTTGTTGCGTAACTGTTATTCGGTAGCACGTACGTCGTCTGTGCAGCTGTAGGAATACAGAATGCTCCATAGTCCATATTATTAGCAAAGGTAATAATCTGTGGACTTTCCCACATTTTGCCTGTTAGTGGTAAATCCCTTCTGGACATGTCTAATTTTTTAAGTAAAGGCAATGATAAAGACATGATAAACAACAAATAATGGAGCATGCACCCAAGACTGAGTTTTTCCAAACTCGATGACCATTTCTTGCAGTGCTTAAACTATGAAACATTCAAATTGAAGCAGCCAACTACTTCAATTTTAAATTCTTCATGATATTTATCACAGCTTTGATTTATAAAAAAGAACACACCACCTTAACATGAAAAAGATAACCTATACTTTGAATTCTTAAACCATGAAATCCTTTTTATAAACAGCATTTTCTAAACATCAGTAAAAAATTTCGATTTTCCATACATTCCATCAGAAAATTCAAAAATAAAAGTAAAAAAAAAAAATCAGTATAGAACTATAGAAGTAGCTATCATGGCCATCAAAAGAACCATTCTGATAGTCTGTACCATTGCTTCGTTGTCTCTTGTGTCTTCGGCACAAACTTGTAAAAACTACAAGTTTTCCAACCAGAGGGATTTTCAGTCATGCGCTGACCTTCCAGTTCTAGAAGCCTATCTCCATTGGAACTACAATTCCACGGCAGAAACAATTCACATCGCATACAGAGCAAGCCAGACACCTAGAGGATGGATTGCATGGGGGATTAACCCAACTGGAAGCGGTATGGTTGGAACACAAGCACTAGTTGCCTTCCAGGATCTCAAAGGCAATATGAAAGCCTATACTAGTCAAATCAAAAGCTACAACCCTAGCATGAAACCTGAACCTCTTAGTTTCCCGGTCTCAGAGCTTTCAGCAGAGTACTCGAACGATGAGATGATCATCTCTGCTCTTCTTGGACCGCTAAGCAACGGAACAACTTTTAACATCGCCTGGCAAGCTGGGAATGCAGTGTCAAATGATATTCCCCAGTCTCATCCACATTTCGGACCATATGTTAGGTCATCTGGAACACTGAATTTCCTGTCAGTATAGATCAAGCCTCGAGGTAGTAGCCCTAATATAGGGTTTTTTTTTAAGCAAATAAATACTGTAACATACCCTTAGTAGAAGAATTACTATAAGCACTCCTTGTAATTCACACACAGCATATCCTATTCATCACCAAAAACACTAGTACAATAAAAATAAAAAAAAGTTCAAATATGTAGTGTGTAAAAGCTATCAATTCCTCATTTAATTTCCTTGTTATCTGGCTGGACTTTTTTAGCTACACTAATAGATAAATTAATTCATATAGTTTCTACAAATGTTTGAGAAATTGCAGACTCCTCAGTGTGTCATAAAAAGAAATCATCTCTTTCTTGTCATTGAGTTATTGTCTTTTTATAAGTCATGACCAAGAGAGAGGGAATTTGCAGTTTCCCTGCCATTCAGAAGAATGTATCCAGTCAAGCGATGAAGGCTAAGAATGAGTGACCATATTACCAACGCTTTGCAGCAACTCATCCCTCTTGGCGTTCGTTACTGGCATCTCCAATGTCCACTGCAAAGTCACAAAAGAAGTTGAGTGCCAGTTCGCAGAAATGATATTGTGAAAAAAACAATTTACATCAAAATGGATACTAATTGCCAGATTTGGTGAAACTTTTATAGTTCTGTAGTGAAAATCAACCAAAAAAATCAAGATATGTACTACTCCAGCCAAATGATTTAACAATCCTGAGGATACAGTGACGACTACTACAGTTTCGGTTACCACCCCAACGTCCCAAATTACAGCAATTGATCGACTGCCAGCCATCTTATGTCACTATATCGACCAGATTTAGAAGAAAGAAAACAGAAAGTAGAAAGTCTAAATCCAAAAAACCCTAACCGATAACCACCAAGACTAGTAATAAACAATGTTAAAATTAGTTATAATCATGATGTTAGATCTCAAAGTTCCCCCTGATCTCACCTCCTTAAAAGCTTCACTGAACGAGGAGTCCTGAAAACCCTGGTGCCAAAGAAGAGATCAACCAAGTAAGAGACAAAAAAAAAAAAAAAATGGTTGTGTGAAGGAGTAATTAAAAAAGATACGCAAGTGGCAGTAAGAGGGCAAACCAATTTACGGAATAGAAGAAGTGATGCTTGGTTCGACTCTCCGATTTTGGCACGAAATGTATGGATCCCAACATTCTCAACAGCAAAAGCCATCATCATCATGACTGCTTCCTTTCCTAGTCCTTTGCCACGACTATGCTACCAAGAGAGATTACATAGCTTAAGATATATTTGTTGTGAATTTCTCTAGTTAATAAAATAAAACATTTGCAGTACTTAAGTGATTTCTACTTTCCAGAATTCTAGCCCATGTTTATGCCTTTTTTTTTAAAATACTACAATGGTATTACTCAGCAGAGCCATTTTGTTTTGCTTCTTGACTGTTAATTAACAATTTTGCATTATTTTAGTGTCAAGTGAAACCTGACAGAGATGTCATCACTCTCAGTAATACAAACTGCAATTAAAAATACAAGTCTGTAGCTGCATAATCATACCCAACAATCCAAGGCAGCACGGTGATCAAACACTCCCAATCTATATGCCAATACACATAAAATGCAAGTCTATACTGCACAGTCATATCCAAAGCAGCATGTAGACAACAGAACGCTCTCAATCTATATGCACATATACATATTATGAGGTAAGGCAAGAAGACAACTCAATTTATTCTAGACATAGCATACTAGTCAGAAGTATTGTGATTAGTTCTACTACGGATATAATTACCACAATTTCAAGCAAATGGATATACTGAAGAACCCCAGGTGGGTACAAACATAATACATTGAGACAATGTTTTCATGTATTAAGTAACGAAAACATCATATGCACAAGATAGCCACATCAAAATACGTTTCACTTCTATCATTTCAAGTATAGATATTTGGGTTCAGATATAATCAAATATCTTCTAAGAACCTGGGTATCAATTATAAGGCTTCCCAATTCTAGAGATCTATGAAAAACAACTTAAAACCTTCACTTATTCTTGTTTTATACTTCAACAATTACCTTTCTTATGAAGAAATCATCATCCTGAAACTACTTTAGATTTTACAGTTACTCGCACTGTCTTAAAGAATTCGTTCACCTTTCAATTAGGGTTTCTCCCATTATATTCTTTTCAAAGGTGTATAACCTATTTCTAACATTGAATTACCAAAAACAAGTGATACAAATCATGCAATATATATATTTAATATCTATACAGAAGACTAACAATTGATATACATGCACAAGCCTCAACTTTTTTGGACATCATGTCACAAATAACAGTCTTAAAAAACATCTATATACTGCTAGTAAATGGCATTTAACTTTTTGCAGGGGTCAACCAGGAATTTCCAAATCTATCGAATGTATTGAGTAAATAAGTAAGGACACACCTTTTAGGCTCAGCAATCATTATCTCAATCTCCGCAAAAAGAGGGTCATCAGGATCATTCATATATATATTAACATCACCTACCATAGCTGATGATAAAGAAAGAAAGAAAAAAAAAACTCAGGATTCAGGAGCATAAATGTTCCAGTCATGAGAATAAATAGAGATTAAATCTACCTTCAATATGGGGTTGGCCGTGTAAAATTTTCCCCTCAATCATCTGCTTATCCAGAACAATGAAAGTGCGCTCTGAAAGATATCCATACCACAACTTACAAAAATTGAATGGAGTATTATGCAACTGAAATGCTACCAAACATCCCAGCACGACGAACCACACAAAAAACAACAGAATCTATCAATTAGAAAAGAACTACAATAATGTGTTTTCTTTCTCCTTTTTATATAATGTCAGCCAGGGCTCTTTATTATTTGACTCTTCAATCTAAACTTGCACATATTATCAGAATGTCAAAGCAGCTTAAGTACCAAAAATCCAAGATTCCTTTCTCTTGTACCCTCTTCTTTCACCCACACAACTTCTTCTCTGCTCCTATAACTCATTGAAATTCATAGATGGCCTGCATTTGAAGTATCCTTTTGTATTATCTACTCAATATCTGGTGTATTGTCTGTCACAAGTTCACAACATGCAGTGCTGATGCCTACCAATTTCACCTCCATTTCTATTTACTTCTTCAATACCAATGATCTCCATCCAAGTTTGCTCTCTATTATGTAGCCCCTCACATGTTTTCCCAATGTTCCTTTCTTTGGGTATAACCAAATCTGTATTTACCCTAAATCTTTCATTATATATACACTATTCATAAGGGCTATTCTAGCTACTCAAAAGATCCATATACTCCATAACCATTACTATGACTATTTGTTGTATTTATAGTGGGTCATCTCCTATAATCAGAAACATGCCATTGCTTCACTATTCCATCTCCATACTTCTAGTATCTAAGTAGTATCTTGGACATCTACTATTACCCCCACACTGCACGGAAAGGAAACAAATATGCAAAATAGGTGAAATGAATCCCGACCTTTTTACAAGTCAACACTATTACTCAACCTGTAAAAGATGGCAAAAAGATTCCTAAGTATGGGTAAAATGATAAAGTTAAATGTGAGGTCCAATAATATCTTAAGATTCAGGCTGAGAAGTGCACTCTAATTTGTTATTTTCTTTTTCAAAATATGAACATTCTTGACACCATGTGTATGCTTCATGCCTTCATCTTCACACTAGAGAACCCTAATGCTACAATGCTATATCCACTGGCCATTGCTTTTTGAAACACATTATCCCTCTCAGATAATAGTCCACAATACAAATGACAAGACCATCGATTGAGTATGATGCGTAAGTTTTCCAAGCAGTACACGCCCATACTTTGCATCTTCTTGTTAATTTTATCTGCATGTATTTGCTGAGCATCTAGAAGAATGGCCTATCATAATATGTAATATCATTTTAAAGGCTTGAATCAACAATCGAGATGGCATATGAACATTAGGCAGGACTCATTGGTGTAAAATGCTTCAAGTCTAGGAGGTTTTTGCCCCTAAATCATCCATGGACGCTTTATGTTCGACAACTTCAAGTCCTGTAGCAAAGACTGCGTAGATCAAGCATATTTTAGCTGAAACTTGGTCCTTCCGTCCAACACTAATCTAACTTTACTATGATATATCATGATCATATAATAATTCAACAAGCAGTTTCCATGATCATCATGGCAAACAAATTTCTCGACTATCATTATCAATGGAAATGAGCTACAGGAGATAGCCTATTAGTTTACCAATTGAGAAAAAGCTGACATTTTGACTAAAGATTTAACAGTTTGACACCACAAAACTTCATTTGCTAAAACCAATCTATGGTTGTTCCTTCCCAAACTCATTCAAATTGAGGGGTTATTGCAATATTCACAAGGATAGTAAGATAAAGCTCCTCATTTTTCTTCTATATTTCATACTAGTTCAACAATAATAAATCCTAAGGCAACTAATTAGTTGAGCCATTTAATCATAAAATTGCAGACAACCTATATTAAGTCAATCATACATAAAACTCCCAGCATAACAACATCAATAACAATCCCACAAAACCTAAATCAAAAGCTATCCCATAAAATGCATCCACAACTGAAGAATCTTACAAAATTTTAAGAACCCACCATATATTATTCCAAGAAAATGCATCCAAGTATAAAAATTACAACAATTACACAAAATTAGCAAAACCCATCAAGTATTATGCAACAAAAACCTGAAAATTTTGAGGAAACAGAATAAATTGAAAGAAGAAAGAGAGAGAAAGAAGCAGTACTGAGGGGATCTTGGGACCAAGAGAGCTGCATTTCATACTCCTGATCAAGGGTAAGTGGCTCGGAGCCAGTAACAAAGAGAAGGTAAGGATCTTGCATCCATTGATGGTAATTGGGAACATGTTCTTTCATGTATGGCACCAATATCACCTTTTCTCCTTCCAAGCTTACTCCCATCGTTGTATTTTCTTCTACTTTTACACTTCTGCTGCTCGGCAACGCAATCAATTGAGAATGTTTTGTCTATGACCCATTTCGTCCATAACGGGCTCAACTTTATTGTCCGATACTTCGTCCGTTCCTTTTATGTTTGGGCTCATGTTTTAGGTATGACTTTTTAGGATAATTTGTCATTTACTACCGCAACTTAATATCACTTTGTAAATTACTACCGCAAATTAAAAAATTTGTGAATTACTACCACAAAATTTTTTAAGATGTTGCTATTACTACCAAACCCCCATTAAACCCAACTATGACGTCATTATATCCCTTAAACCCGTGTTTGACCATGGTTAAGGGCTTTAACCAGTCCCCCCCCCAAAAAAAAAAATGGATTAGGGATATAATGACGTCATGGTTAAGGGCTTTATCCATGGGTTAAAGTGATATAATGACGTCATAGTTGGGTTTAATGGGGGTTTGGTAGTAATCGCAACATCTTAAAAATTTTTGCGGTAGTAATTCACAACTTTTTTAATTTGCGGTAGTAATTTACAAAGTAATATTAACTTACGGTAGTAATTGACAAATTTTCCGATTTTTTATTTGGTAGGGTTGACGAGAGCGATGTACCAAAAAAACTCCGATCCACGGGTAAACTATTAGGCAAGGTTCATTTCCTCTTAGCATCTCTTCATTTAAATTGTGCCTTGCACATTTTTTAGGGTATGTTTTCATAGACTGAACTAAATTAAATTGAACTGAAATGAATATTTTATAAGAAAAGGAAATTAAGAGTTGAAATGAATTGAACTGAACTGAGCTGAGCTGAACTGAACTGAACTGAGCTGAATTGAACTGAAATGAACTGAAAATAAACGTATGAGAACAAGCCCTTAGTTACTTTCTTCATCCTTCAAAAATTGTCTTGTATGTCCAATCTTCACATTATTAGGCCCGAATAAAGTTGTACATTTAGGAAAAACGCAAATGAAAAAAACATACCAAATTTGGTAAGTTTAGACACTTTAAAATAATGCTCCCTCTGTTTTTAAATACTTAATCCACTTTTAAAATCTGGTTGTTTTAAAATACTTGCTCCTTTCTTTATTTGGAAAGTTTTTATATATTTAATTTATTTCTCTCAACCAGTGGACTCAATATAAATTATACTTCATACTCCCTCCGTCTTTTAAAGACTTGTATTCCTTGTTTGGCAAATCAAAATTAAGGACTTATTTTGAAGTTATTACTATTTGAGAATATTCCCTACTTTTTGATGAATTGCCATCCTTTTTTGTACTAATAATGACTTTTTACATCAATTTACAACACTTTGTTTCTCCCTCTCTTCAATTATTCTCAATAAAACCCAAATAGGTCCCTAAAATAGAGACAAAATATTTTATTAATTTCATATTATCTTTCCTCCCATTCTCTCAACTACTTTTTTTTTATTCTTTCACCTACCTCACTACTTCTATATTTTATTACTTTCTCCAAATTATCGTAAACTTTGCACATGGAGAAATGGAACAAATATTTTAAAACGGAGGGAATAATGTACTCCCTCTGTTTTTTATATAAACACCCAATTTGACTAGAATATTTGCCAATGATATCTTTAATCATCAGTATGTTAAACACCCCAATTTGACTGGAGTATTTGCCAAAGTTGTATTTACTAATAATTTCTTTAATCATCAATTTGTACAAATTATAAAATTAATATTTTAAAATTATACATTGAGATAATTCTAACAAATATTGACGTACATGGCCATGTTTACTTTTTATATATAAGCCAGAAATATTAACCAAAATGATGCATATGAATAGTATTAACTATTAAAGTTAAATTGAAACGCTTAAATAAAAAACAGACAACATTTTTTAATGGATGGATGACATATTGTTTACTTAAGGAAGCTTTAAAAAAAATTGTGTGAAGTTCTTGATATAAGCACCCAAGCCCATCAAGTGTTATTCAATGTAGGCAATCAGTCCAATCGCCCACAATTTAATTAAACAAGTCATTTTTAAAAAAAAAATTAAAAAGTACAAGTCATAGATTATTAGAGTATTATAACTTTATAAGTAGCCTATAGTAAGACACATAAATCCATCTTAAGAAAATAAATGCGGATTAGTGATGTCTTGTTGTACATGTTAGACTACTCGAGATAGCCTAGATCAATTATACTTCGTAAAAACTTTTTGACAACCTAAATCATAAGAACTACTTATCATGTGTATTTTGAATTATGGTCCCTAATTACATGTCATATTAATAGTACATAAGATTAGAGACAATTGAGTCATGATCCTTAATTATTTAGTTTGTTCACTGTATTTAATGGGTTATACTTGAACTTTATATATTTATTAATTGTACTTATCAACAAACTGAATAGCACCTTCTCCCGTTTTATTAGGGCATCCACAATAAGAGGTTTGTTTAGAGGTTGTGGAAAGAGGTTTGTTTTCAACAGGTTTGTATATACAAACCGGTTCAAGGAGGCTTCCATGGCCCACTTTTAGTTTTTTTTTTTTTAATTATTAATTTTTTTTGCTTTAAACATTTAACTTTTTTGTTTTTTGTTTTGATGAGTTGTATTGACGATAGGTCCCATACATAAATCTTTGAATAGGTTTATCTATTGTTGATGAAAGGTTTGTTAAATGGGAGGTTTGTATGATGATGATGTGGCAAGTGAACAAACCCATTAGAGGTTTGTTCTATTGCTCATGCCCTTAATAGTTCCCTTTCTTCACCTATCACCACACCATCACTATATAAATCTTCTTACAATCACATCATCACTAGCTCTCCCTCTCCTATGTTTAATTTAATTTTGTTTGGTTTGACTTTTATTACCCGTTAATTTAATACTCCCAATCCAAGCGCCCCCTAAGTGTAAATACTAAATTTAGACTTGTACACCCCTCTACTTTTTTTTGTTGCTCGTTTTTATACATAAAATTTGAACTTTTGATTGTTGAATAATATTTTCATGATTGTTGGAGAAGATTGTTGGTTAACAAACCATCAATCAATTTTTTGGTGTACCCATTATGACGACTTGTGTATAACGAGTCTTCTAAAATTTAAGAATATAATACCTTTAATACTAAAATAATACATGGATATCTTTTTATCCAAATGCTCCTAAGTCCTAAGGAATAGCTTTGTTGGAGAGAGAAAAAAAATCTGAAGGTTTAATCATGTAAAATAACGTAGGATACTATGACGAAAGAATCATATATTTCTCCGTTCTAATAAAAGAATCATATATTTCTAAAAAAAAATTATGTATTTGAACCTATTCTTTGATAACAGGTCCAAGAGATGGATTTTCATGATGTATCATGACCTTCAATTGTAGACCATCATAATTGAATAAGCCAATTAATTAATCAATTATATGTGATTTAAGACTAATAATAATTGCATGTCTTATATAAATTCTAATTATAAATAAAAGATGTCCAAATTATAACACTAGTGGTTAATTCTACTTTAGTAATTTATTTTAGGATGGAACGAAGAACTTTAGGACTTGGTAGCTCGATCAGTTATTGATAGAGTATAAAACATATTCCCGGGCCTCAACCATCAGCTTAAGCTTTTGGTTAAATTGGTCCACTAACAGTTATTAGTTTTGTAAGTGATAAAACTCTCACATGTTATGAACTTGTTTATGATCCAAATGTCTAATATAAACTATCATAAAAATCAACAAGTTATTATACTATTGTGTAGATCCGAGTGTATAATGTTTTGAGAAGATTATATCCGTTCTTAAAGTTTGCTTGCTTAAAAGCCAAGCACAAAACGACCTAAAATAAAGATATTGTGCTTTGATGCATCTTTTTTCCGCTAAAAATGCGTCAAATGTCGCAACAAACATAGAGCTCATCATCATTGCATGAGTTTTGCATCCCAAGCAATAAAGTTGTTAGGATAAATATGAGCCATCATTATTAAAACACACCACCAAACATCATTGTATTGAATGTAAACATATATATAATCCACTAATTTAAGTAACTTTTTTACTATTGTCTTGGCTTCAAAGTTAAGCATGCATTATCATGTCCTAGACATTATTTTCCCATCTAGTTATCACACACACTCATATACATTTATTTTCATCATTAGAAATCATGAACACTAAATATATCTTCAATTCTTTTAGTATCTCCTTGCTCTTCCTCTACCACCATGATCCTTATTCTCCTATTTTCCCTAGTCTTCTCCCCTCAATTTCGACCCGTTATATCCTCCCATTGTACCACAATTACTAGTACCAAAAATTTTGAGAAATGTATGACACTTCCTAGCCAACAAGCATCCCTTGCTTGGACTTACCACGCGCATAATGCCACCCTTGATGTTGTCTTCTTTGGTAACTTCATATCCCCTTCGGGATGGGTAGGTTGGGGGATCAATCCTACTACTGCAGAGATGACAGGCACCCGAAGCCTAATTTCCTTTCCGGACCCTAACACAGGCCAACTAGTCCTCCTCCCTTATATTTTAGACCCAACGGTTAAACTCCAAAAGGCTCCATTATTATCACGCCCTCTTGATCATATCCACTTGTTAACATCATCAGCAAAAATGTATGGTGGAAAATTAGCCACAATACATGATGGAGCCCAAGTTGAAATATACGCCACAATCAAGCTCTCCCCTAACAAAACAAAGATCCATGTTGTATGGAATCGCGGTGTTTATGTCCAAGGATATTCACCTACCATACATCCAACTACGATCAATGACCTCTCTTCTGCAACCACCATAGACCTCCTTTCCGGTGTTGCAAGACACGAAAATGACCTAAAAACCTTGAAAATAGTACATGGTGTTATGAATGGAATATCATGGGGAGTCATGCTTCCAATAGGTATAATCATGTCACGTTACTTAAGACATATAGAAGCATTAGGCCCTACGTGGTTCTACGTGCATGCCGGCATGCAACTCACCGGATTCTTCCTAGGAACCATTGGTTTCGCGATAGGGCTTAAACTAGGGGAGCTATCACCCGGAAAAGTGTATGGATTGCATAGGAAGCTAGGGTTTATCGCGGTATGCTTGGGAAGTCTACAAACACTAGCGTTATTATTTAGGCCAAAGACAACAAACAAGTATAGGAAATATTGGAAGTCATACCATCATTTTGTAGGGTATGCTTGTGTGGTTTTAGGGGTTGTGAATGTTTTTCAAGGGTTTGAAGCAATGGAGGCAAGCCGGACTTACGCGAAATTGGCCTATTGTTTGTGCTTATCTACCTTGATTGGTATATGTATAGCATTGGAGGTTAATAGTTGGGTTGTTTTTTGTAGAAAAGCCGAGGAAGAAAAATTGAAAAGAGATGGAGTCATAACACATCCAAGCTCGGAGAAAGCTAGTGGTAGCTTCAATTGATGAACAAATTTTGCTTTCTACTTTTTTGTTTTTTCTTTTTTAACAAATTCTTTTTCGCAATTTTTGAGGTTTATGTTTTACAAATGTATAATCGAGAGAAGAAATTACTACTCCTTTGTTCATCAATTGAAGCTATAATGTCCATAATCTTCTCCAATTTTGACAAAAAAGGGGCCTAATAATAATCTTTCTTCTTTATTTCTTACTACACCTAATTTTTTTTTTAATTTTTTCCCATGTATGTTACAAGATTCAACTATTGATAGGAGGAAATGAATACGATGATCTTTCTCATTGATTAAACATCAATATATATACAAGGGTACACTATAGTTAAAGCTAAGAATACATTAGTAATATACAGTACAAATTAATAATATACACTACATTATTTACATAATCTAACAACGGCCCAAAGAGGCGAATCAAGGATCGGATATTTTGGCTAATCAAGCTTCATTTACCCCAACTTAATTACTACTAGTTCGCCTATTGCATCAATTTTTTTTCCTCCATATATTTATAAGTTGGTCCTCTATATGAGATGCTAATTAATCTAGTTACTTTATTTCCAACTAATTAAATACAAAATTTTAAAAAACAATGTCAAGAATGGGATTCGAACCCATGCCCTTTCGGACCAGTACCTGAAACTGGCGCCTTAGACCAACTCGGCCATCTTGACCTTTTGTTATGTTTTACAGAATTTACTTATATATATACTTATAGTTATGACGTTCTCCAGTATTCGAAATCTTTTACCGCCAAAAAAATCATTTATGGGTTTTTTTTTTATTATTATTTTTTTTTTCTTTTTCTTTTTCTCTGGCACATAAATTTATCTTTAAGATTAATCTCATTTGGGTTGATCTTTCTGAAATAATCAACCAAAGCTAATGCCTAATGCTATTAGTTTTTCGTCATATTAGTAGGTTTGATTGCAAATTAAAGCACATTGTTTATTCAAAATTAACTAATTACACTTTCAAGTTTCTAAATCAATTTGTGTAAATAAAGCCAAATCGAGTTCATATAGAGACGAGTAATTATATTTTCTTTCTTATATGAAATCGTTAGGTTATCCCCATTTTCAACTCCTCGACTTTGATTACTAAGCTGTCGATCACAAGTTTATAGGAAAATTACAAATATAGTGATTTTAATAATACACGTATAATACAACATTAAATTATTACTCCTCTAAGAACATATATATAGTTTTAAATATTCCAAATTGGAATTTTTGTTTCTCTACTCTGTGTCTCTATGATTTATGGTGACCAACAAATACTTGTGTTCTTTGTAAAATGTCAAAATAACATCTTTTCTCCTACAATCAATAATGTTCAAAGTATATAATTATACATTAGTATAAATATAGAAAAGTTAATATTTTGAAAATATAAAATAATACGAATTTGATAAAATTTCAAATGAGTGTATATACCAACTAAATAAAGGATAGAAAAAGTGAAATTTGGATTAATAAATACTCCGTATTTATAATTTGATTCTTCAAAGTCTTCTCCTAGTAGTTTTTAGAGGAGAAATCATTTCAGGCCAATGCATCAATTCATCTGGGATTGTGTTCGGGCCAAATATTTCATGCCCAAACCCGACAATTCGAGCTAGACAGGATTTTTTTCAGCAGGACGAACTTTTAACCAAAATTTAGTTTTGAACAACCCAAAGCCCTTTTTTCGAATCTGTGAGTCAAGTCGGGTCTGATGTCTGAAAATATTTTCTATTTTCTACCCAAGCCCGAGTATTTTTGAGGTCGAACTACACTAAGTCACTAATCAGTTCTGCCAAGAACAAATATCCAACCCAATAAAAATGGAGTCCTCCTACAGAGATGGCGCTTCTCAGAGGAGGGAGATATCAACGAACGTAATCTACACCCAAGAAGTGGTTCATAAGTACTTAGTAGTTATCTCCAGAGGGAGTAGTGTTTTTTGTTTAACTGCTACATAATCTTTTGAATTTTGTAATTTTGATTCAAGTCTTTTATGGGTGGCTAATATTGAGGAGTTGAGGACTTTACTAACACAATCTCTCTAAACCTTGACTATAATCACCAGCTCATCACTTTTCACAAGACAGGTTCACCTAACTTTGGGAGGATTTACCTGATTCCTTGAAGGTCCATTGTATACTTTGACAAATGAAAATGCTCTCATTTTAAGATCACAACAACTTATCAAACGAAAGAAATTAAGCATCAATAATGATAGAACCGGTCTGACAGGTAAGCATATTCTTCAAAACTAACTGTCACAAAGCCTGATGCAAGTTATCTTACATTACAGTCGACGGAAACTGAGAGACTGTTTCATGCTCAACCAACACCTATACATGCATGTAAACTCTAGAGTTGCCTATATTATGAGACAGAAAATACAAACATTGCAAAAAAAATTCTCATCCATTGCTATTAAGAGATAAGGAAAACAATGAGAATTATTCATCAAGTCATATCGTAATAACAATTAAGTTCAGCAGCCACATGAAGTTTCTACAGTGAATGAGGATCAGAAAAATATAAAAAGAACCTTATTCATGAGAACCCTAGTTGGGTTCCTTCAATAGTTCCACACTGGTAAATCAACAAGAAGCCCCCATACAATCCAAAAGAAACATGAAAATGTACTTGACAAGAACCCGCGCTTTGTCATAACTATTACAGCACATAACAAAATATATGGAAAAAAAAGAAGAAAAGAAAAGAAAATTGATGGTAAAATTGGAAAAGAGAAAAAAGAGGGGGGGCTTGTCTATCCTTTACCATGTATCCCAACACCTCCCGGAGATGAATGATACAATTTGACTATATCCCGCAATCTGATTTTACACCTCACTCAAAAACCCTAGAATGATGACTCAAAATACTCAAGCCACAAAAACAAAATCCCTTACAACTTCCCTATTGCTACGTAATCTTCAGAATAGGCACTCCAGTCAGTTCTATGTAAATTAACTTTCAGAATTTAAACTGGACTATATTTAGTCACCTTTCATCTGCATTGCCAGATTGCTCCATCTACAATAATTTCCTGATATTTAGCCTTCTAGCTAGGAAGTCCTGTCAAGGGAGAAGAAAAACAAATCAGAATTGATACGGAACATCAACTTTCTGGAATTGAATTACATGAGATCAAAATAATTCAAAAAATGTTCAAGAGTATTCACTATTAATGATTGATAAGCTTAAGGAAACATATACGTAGTATTAACAAAAAAAATCAATGTAAGCAATTCTTAAACATGATTACATATTCAAGTTAGATCAAAGTGATTCATCTGTACACATTTTCTACAGTTAGAGTTCATAGGAAGATCTACAGTACAACTGCCTGTAAGTAATTGAAATCTGAATATCATAGGAACAGGTTTCTAGAGCAAAGAAACAGTATAGCTAGGGTATAACTGATTGTGTATGAGGTTCAATGCAACCATTAGAAGAAGAAATAGAACTGCAGCTTTAGTAAGCAAAAGCTCTTCAATTTTAGTAAGTGGATACACGCTATGTATCCAAAAAGACATACTTTCCAATGCCAATGATGCAACAGTATGCAATTACATCATGTCCTACAATAAATTGTTTACCATTTAACCACTTTTTTACCCATACTAAACATTAATTAATTTGTAAAAATTTCAGCAATAAGAACTCAATGTCACCAGGGCTTCAAAGTAAGTTCAGAGAATGAATAAAATTTTACGGTTCCACATTCAGCAATGTCAGAATACTAAATGGAACATATACGAGCTTATCAGCAGCTGCTATATACACATTATCCGCTTTGTTAACAGGTAACAATCAATAACATTATGGACCTTTATGGCGCACCATGTTGATAGAGGTTTTTCTTCTCAAAATTATACCTAAAATTCTCACCTCCAAATAAATTTAACCAAAAGAATACAGCACAAGGACCTTCTGAATAAAAACATCTACCATAGTCCAGTCAGCATGCTTCCAAAAATTTTATCTACTTCTTATATCACATAATAAAAGACTCGTGATTATGCCCTTGCATCACTCACGTGTTGTCAATGAAAGAGTAGCAAGTCCTCTTCCATCAACAAAACACCATATTCTGTTCCTCAGCTAAAAAATTTTACTCAATCATCTCAAGTGTTCATTACTTCTTCTCATATAAACATAGAGCACATTAATAGTCCTTGGCTCAGAGAATCCACTTTCTATCAATAAAACAGTATATGTTCCTCAGTAACTGCTAGGGCCAAGATAGAGAGCACTGATGAATAGTGACTGCCTGAATAAACACTTCTTATTCCAACACTGATATCAGAGCAGTGTACATCTTCCAATTCCAAAAAAAAAAAAAAAAAAAAAAAAAAAAAAAAAAAAAAAAAAGGCTAAAATAGTAGCTACACATTATATAACCCTTGATGGTGTAAGTGCTACATCTGCAGTTGGTGGCTTGACTCCTAATCTTTTTGAAAAGCATTTGGAGAGAGAATTATTTTCAAGAAGAACAAATCAGAGTCCATCCAAGGTTTATCCAAGTTCATCCATGGCTACAACAAGCGAAAGTTCTGTTTTAGAGCCTAACGCTGTGGTATTGCGTCCTAACGGCTAGCTTAGCTTGTGTTGGTCCAATTGTATAAAGAAATACTAATCAAGACACAATTTTTATGTAAAGAAAGCAGCACTTATTAAAGCCTTAACAAAAGAAATCATCACAATAAATCCATAGCATATGTAAGTTTTGGAAGAATAAGGGGAGGAATTTCCTTTGAAGATTGGCATGCCTAGTTATTCTTTGGGTTTTGTGTTGATAGTAATCATCAAATGTGCAGGATTTAGTGGTTCACACTCAATGAATTTTTCCTTCATGCCACTCTGTGGAGGTTGTCCTAGATCTCATAATGTTAAGCACAAAATTGGCAAGCCACTTATTAGTACTCAACTCTAAAAAAAAACACACTTTCCTCTTTGGCAGAACATTTTTCTTTCTTCTTAATACAATGCCCCCCTATTAATAATAAATAAAGGCCAAAGGACAGTGAATCAATCAGCTCAGCTAAAAATTGATTGAGCACCTATGTAAGTTTATTCTTTGAAAAATATCCACTTTTGGCCATTAAAAAGTGCACCAAGTCCATCTGTACATCAACCTAATGCATGAAACGTCTGTGGGTCAACTGCAGGCAATTTTGCACAAATTGCAGAGAGAAAAAGCAGCAAATACACATCAGTTGATGCTTGAACCAAACAGACTAACAATTAACAAATTCTCAAATTGAGCTTGGCATAATATCAAATAATTCATATAAAAGAAAATACTAAGTGCACCTCGAATTAAGCTTCTCTTTTCCCACAGTAACCCCCAACATGTAAAAATCCATCCACCAATACCAGCAGAGATTCAGCAAAGCTCCAAAATCAAGATATGGCAAGTAACCCAAACTTAAAGTAACATCTCATTTGTGCAGTTTGAACAATCAACCTAATTGATCCATATCCTAAACATTCACTAACTCCTTAAAGTGTTTTGAAACTTCTACTCACCAATTTTTAGGATGCAGGTCTTCACTCACCAAGTCACCAGTCCCCAACACTCATGAAAAAGGTTTACAGAATACAACAAGTTCTTGATAAAGAGCCACAGAGAGGAAAAAACAGGCGTAGAAACTACAGCACAAGTAAACCAATCTACCAAGAAGTTAATTCTTAATTCCTTATAGGTAGATGACCGCTTAGCAATATGATCAAACTATACCTTTAGCGGCACGGAAAAGGGTCTTTCATCACACATATTGTACCTCGTCAAGAATGGGATGCCGTGGATATATGAGAACATATCAGTATTTTCTACAGGTGTACCATAGCACAATACTCACCAACCCTCACCCAGACCTCCCAACAAGAAGATAAAGGAACTACAATAGATCTTTTCTTAATTTTAACCACGGAGTAAGTTTCTAGAAATAAACATGAAAGATGTATATCATGTTATATCTTTTTAACTTTTTAAGTATGATGAGGAATATCAGAAATTCAGAAACACACTTCCATGTTCATGATAAGAATACCTTCCTAGAAAAGGATCAGAGTCCGATATAGAAAAAGCAATATAAGACCAACTTAGCAAAACTGTCCACTCAGAATATCAGATACAGCTAAAACCAAATCATCATCCTTCTGCATCCAAATTTGAGATAACCAATTGGAAAGAAAAAAAAAAAGTTTGACAATAATAAAGTTTCATCAATTTAATTCAGTTTAAATAAACACTTTAAGTCTATAGCCGATTGATGCCTAGTGGATAGGCTATGTTAATTTAACAAAGAAGCATAGCCAAGGTGCAAAACTAAGCACTTTCTTAGTAAAGAGTTTCAGGATGAGCCATTGATATCTAACTTCTAACAATTGAAGGTCACATCAAACCATAGTGCACTAAAATGAGACAAATTAATCTGGTTATATTAAGGAAATATACAGGCACCCACTGCCAAAAAGTTTTACTCCATATTGATTTAAAAATCTAGATTGATATAATAACAAGGTCATGGTACAGAAAATTAACTAACAAAAAAGGAAAATAAAATTTTAACTATATACACCAAGTGCTTTGGGGTTTCAGGTTCACGGTTGCTGAGGAGGAGACAAGAAGTGAGCATAAAACGATATGTTCTTATTGGGCATTAAAATACTCCATCGAAAATCAGCTTCTAATGTGTGAGTTTTTAAATTCTCATATCCATGATTTTCTTGTATTGGCAAGATATTTCAGTTATACAAACTAACACTTTCAGAGGGTAAAGTTCTTTAGGATAAAAAATCACCATTGGCTATAATGTGTAATAAACTAACTTAGGAGGGGCACTTTGGGAAGTGTGGTATTATTAGGTTAATAGTCTTTAGCCTTAGTATAAATAGAGAGAGAGGAGAAATGAGAAGGTAGGCAGAATTTTAGAGTGAATCCTATTGAGAGTTGTGACCTTAAGTCACTAATTTGAGATTTGTAGGCTAAACCTACTACCTTATGTAAGAGATCATTAACAAGTTTCATACAATATCAAGATCTAATCTTTACTCATTTACAGTATTAAATCAAAAATACCAGATCAGATTATCAGTCTATAACATAATGCAGCTGAAAAAAGGAACAAAAAATAATAATATTCATCATAAAATCTTACCTCTGTTTGGTTGTCTCTTATTAACACTATATCCGCCCACAAAACCAGCAGACCCTTTAGCAGATACATCTGGACCGGCATTCCCGAGCCCATAACTAAAAGAGCTAGAACCATCTCTCTCAGGAGTTGATGCTCTCCAAGGAGAGTCTCCGTATATCGAGCTACTGCCATACAAGTCTGTAAATGCCCCATCATACCCACCACCATTTGATGATGCATAAGATGATGATGTTGGGGCTACATTATTTCCAGTGTTTCTTCCATAGCCTCCACCACTCAGATTATAACTGGTATCAGCCCCAACATAATTCAGATTTCCGCTGCCAACAGCATTCCCCCCACCTTGGCCAGACACCTGTGAGGAACCCCAGTTCACATTGCCACTTCCAAAGGATCCTCCAACATTACCAGTCCCTGACCCAGACCCATTAAAAGCAGCGGATGTAGAAGAGTTTGAGCTATAATTAAGTCCCCCATTTCCCCACAGGTTCCTAGATGAGCTAAACAGGGATGAGCTTCCCCCATTTCCATCATCATAGCCAACCGGACTACCAAACCTATTTGAGCTGCCCATAAAGTAGGGGTTCACACCACGTCCGTAGCTGAGACTGCTACCGAAGTTAGCGTTTCCACCATAATTAGCATTTAAACTTGGCTCAAAATTCATACCCATTCCATAACCGGAATTAAACGGAGGGAACCCACTTCGTCCACTTGCAATTGCATTGAATCTGCCATCCATTCTTACTCCATAACCTCCAAGTGCACTTGGATTGTATCCTTGAGTGTAGCCATTTAGGAAGTTGTTGACCCTGTTTAGACCATAATTATAACCACCAATTGGACTACGACTAGGACCAGGTGATAACTCTTTAGGGACTGCACGCTTGACCTCAACCATTTTACCATTCAGTTCATGGAATGTTTTGATTAAAACCCTATCCACTGCTTCCTCTGAATCATAAGTAATGAACCCAAAACCTCTTGGCCTCTGTGTATTATGATCGTACATCACGACAACATCTGTAATTGTACCAAACTGCTCAAAGTAAATTTTAAAATCACTCTCGGTAACAGTGGAAGCCAAGCCTCCAACAAAAATCTTCCTAGTGCGGCTTGGACCTGGAGAGCCATGTGCACTGCCACTAGTTCTACTTAGAATGTTTTGATCATCTCTAGGAACAGCCTTCTTTGCCTCAACCTAAAGTCCGAAAAACCAAAATCAGCATGAAAGCATAGCACTACACATATATGCAAACCTTTAAGCATTCATCCAAAATTGATATTAACTGACAAAAATCAAACCTTGGAAGCTTAGAAGCTGGCCTCCACATCAAAACACAAATTCTAATTGCAAAATACATTGAAAAAACAACAAAAAAAAAATATGTATAGAAAGCTCAAAGTATATGCCAGTTAATTACCATTCTTCCATCAATGTTGTGCTTCTCCTGGACAACTCTATCAGCAACAGCTGGGTCTGAAAAGACAATGAAACCAAAGCCCCGAGCACGGCCAGTGGTCCGATCCTTCATGATCACAGCTTCTATCACCTCCCCAAAGGTGCTAAAATAATCCCTAAGACGTTCCTCATTCGTCTCCCACGAGATTCCACCAATAAATAGCTTACCAAGGTCGGATTGCATATTTCTACAAACCAAATATAGAATATTTTCATTAAACCTCACAGAATTTTCAAACTCGAGCAGCTAACAAGTCAATCCAACACAAGCACACAACTTTCTAAACAAGATTAAGCACACTTTCGTCGTGGATCCAATACATTTACATAGAATTCAGCTATAATCCGCAACTAACATAGTTTCGAAACTCAAATAAACAACATTTATCATTGACCAAATTCAATTCTGCTACGCAAATGAATTGAAATGCAATAGAAGCATACCTGGCCTAAGGAATCACAAACCCCAACAAAAATACAATGCCGAATTACAAAATGGTATGTTCTCGGATTCAATCAAAAAAGCATCGGATCCTTCATTCGATCAATAAAATCCAGAATTATGAAATAATACCCTGAAAATTACCGATCATATACATTTCAATTATATAAAAAAAATCCCAGATCAAGAAAATCAGGTAGCTCAACAAAGATCAAATACCCATATCAAAATTATGAACATAGACTAATTTAAATCAAATTAAATTACCCACCGATTGAAGATGACCCGGATGCGGAATTTGAGAGAAAAATAAGGCTAAGATCTGATGAGAGGAAAGATTGAGGACATGTTAAGCATATCTTCCTCAATACAAAACTCCAAACAAAATTAAAATGGAGTCCCCTTTTTATAAATTTATTTATTTTTTTCCAATTTTAAGTCAAATAATAATTTTGATTCAAAATTAGCTAAAAATGTCTACAACTATTTTTATTAATTTAATTAAAATTAAAAAAATTATATTAAGATTGGACTGACGATTGAAGCGTTTTACAGCCAACCAAAATAAATATAAAAAAAAAACAGACAAAAATATGGATATTTTGTGTGTAGGAAAATGAAAAATGGTGGATGAAAATATATATTTTGGGGGTTTTTTTTGAAGTTTTTGAGGTGAAAATGGGTATTTAAAAAAAAAATCAAAAAAACAAGAAATGATTTTGTACAGTAAGAAAGAAGGAGGAAGAGAGAGGAGAGAGAAATAGAGGTGATGTGAAAAATGGGACGTTCGATCTGATAATGGGGGAAGATTGCTTGTCCTCCCATTCTTCTACTTATATACTTATGGGCAATTTCATACCATTGTAATAGTACACATTACACCTTCTCTTATGTTGCTCCATCACAATCATCCCTATTGTTTTAGCCCATTTCTTTGCTTGGTTTTCGCTCATCCTTTTTTGGCCCATTTTTTTAGTATTGGCCCTCTTTCTTTGCATAAGGGTTTAGGTTTCCAAATTAGTGGTCGTTCAAAAAAGGAGTTGATTTAAGTGTACTGTTCAAAACATGAGATCAAATCTCGCTTGTGTATGTATATAATCCATTCTTATTATAATAATAATATTTATAAAAATAAAAACCCTGTTAGATTTAGACATACATATTAAGGAATTTAATAGGATGGGATGGATGTGAGAGAAGATATAGGTTAACAACAGTGTCCACCTCACATGGATTGAAAGTGAAAAGTTTCCAATTTTAGTAACAAAAACGTTGTATATGAATATCTTCGAATGGAATAGAGGAAGATGATACATGGAAAAAGAAAGTGTATACATCTACCGATTGAAGTAAAAGGATATTATGTTTCTTAAATATTCTAATCAGATGAATGAACTAAGTATAAGTATACATAATATATACTTCAATGTTGTAAACTTACCCCTAGAAATCCTCCTTTTACCATTTATTTGGAAGTTAGGGTTTCTTTAAAACACTGTTTTAATTAATAATGTTATACATAATATATACTTTATGAGATTTGTTTCATGATAAAATAACACAATATTAAATAGGCTTTCCGAACTAATTTAAAGAAATCATTATGCCAAATTCAAAACAAATAAAAAGAATGTATATTTCTATTTACCTAATTAGCCCGACCAAATCTTCTTTCTCTAGTGTTGATGTGAATGGAAAAAAAAAATTATTCTATCATTTCTTTTCTTTCGGCCCAGTTACAAGTTTACAACCGTGTACATCCAAAATATGACATTTACGATCATTTTTTTCAATTCAACCTTATATCGGATCCTAAGGACCAAAATGACCCCCACAATCCAACAATAGCATGTCTTTGTCACAAAAATCAAATCAAAGAATTTTTAACATTCTGTTAAACTTAATGTTTTTTTTATGGCATGTGGTGAAAAATAATGTATTAAATTTTTTTGTAGTAAAATAAACTTTAAGAAGTTTGGTGGTTAAAAACTTTTTTTTTTTTTTTTTTTTTTTTTTGCTAAAAGTCAAATTTTTAGAGGAAATAGTGTTTTTTCTTTGTAAGTGGACTTGGCTGTGTTGTTAATTAGGATGAGGGGAACATATGTGGAAGGAAGATTTGGTGTTCATGGATCTCAGTTGTTGGTTGTTTTTTAGATTAAATAATGGCTTGTTTGGAATTTGGGATTTCATTTGAAATTCTAAAATTGAACTAAATGGGTTGTTCAGCTAACCCAATAATTTGGATTTGTATTAAGCACAAATCCAAGTCTTTATGGGAATAAGCCCAATGTAAAGAATTTGTAATCTTTTTAATTTATTAAGAGGTTTCAAAATCCATGTGTTAAATAAATCCCCCTCACTACGTCATGTCACCGACTCAATTACTCATTACGCCATGTCAACCACTCAACTACTCATTACGCCACGTGGCTCTCCTTCTATTTGTTTTTCATTGTATTTCATGCACTCATCATTATATTTAAAAAAATAATAATAAAAAATAAAAAAAAAAAAAAAAAAAAAAAAAACTCCATAAGATTTGAACATGCAACCTCTAGTTCTACAACTAAGTGCCTTACCACTAAGCTTTTGTGATATTTATGCAATTTTTTTAATACAAAATATTAACATGTAGCAAATGACAATATGAACAACAAGTTTACTTACAAGAAAATTGAGTCATAAATTACAATGTATATTAGTGATCAGTTCCATGTCAAAATCTGGGGCATCGCCCGGTCCAAAAACCAATCTATATATATACTAAAATAACAAACGTTGATGTCACAATTGTCTACGTGTCACTTTTTTATTTAAATTTTTTCCCTCTAAAATTCAATGATGATGTCATTTTTTTAACTTTATTTTTAAGCTACCCTATTTAACATAACTTTGCAAATATAATCCATTTAAATTTTAAAATTTTAAATTTTGGGTTTTCAACGCATAATATGCTATTTAGTTATTTACGAGTTGTTAACAATAGTCAATAATATAATTTAATTGAAATTTCTTAATTAAATATGAAAATTATGCACTTTCGAGAATTGTATATTCATATTTAATAACAAATTAGTTAGAAAAAATGAGGAAGTTATTTTCTTTCAGTACATGTTAAAAGTCTATAATTCAATTCTTATTTTAAAATCGTGCATCGCACGGGGTTAATCTAGTTTTACTTGAAAAACTGTCATTTCAAATCCATTTGTTACTCTTTTAATTTTATCTCTCTCCTCACTACTTTGTCAAATTAAATCTTCGGTCCTTTTTTTATTTATTAAATTTCTTCTTATTATGTCCCTTTTCTTTCTCCTCCGTCTCTATTGATACCATCAAGTTAAGCTATTAACCTCCTCGAATCTTCACTCTTTTTTCCTTGATCTCAACTTCCCTCAATTTTCTCGATCTCCTTCAGTCTTTGTTCTTTCTTCAGTTTTACTCCTCCAACCTTCTCTAATCCCATTCCCGTCTTCCATTGCAACCTCGCTATTTAATCCTATCGTCGTTGTCGTTGTCAACAATTGTTTCTTGTTATTCAGTCTTGACCTATATAAAGATGATCAAGTGAGTGTGATATACTTATATGTTGATGTTCAAGTGACGTGTGATAGCTTATCTCTATAATTTTCCAATAAATGATCACGAAATCAATTATAGAAGTGGAGAAGAAGTAATGACATTTTTCAACAACTCTATAGAGCCAACATGTTCATTTAGAAGCTCATTCAGAATTGAAGTTGCAAAAGTAACTAATCTACCAAACGACAAATGCCTTTGGAAGTCACCCTAGTTAATTCCTCAAAATGAAATACAATTTTTTTGTCAAAAGGTTAAATTTGTAAAATTACAGGCAAAATCACAATTGTGAGAAAATTGTAACTTAAAGTAGCAACTTAATTAGGGTAAAACCACTACTTCAAGTAGCAGTTTTACTAGTGAACAGTAAAAAGAAAATGCATTTATTTACGATATTACCGTTTGAAAAATATTTTTTGTTTCTCATGTTGAAACACTTAGAATTTCTTTTGCTTTTGGTTATATGCCATTTCAATTCTAAAATTGACTTCCAATAAATTATTTTCACTTCTATGTTTTCCCAAATGTGTAAATACCATTCTAACCTAATTCCTTGTTAACCTTTCTCCCATGTAACTTCCGTGGAAGTGGATTCTCGTATCTCCCCCCCCCCCCCCATGCCATATTCTCAAACAATGACTTTGTATTTAAATTGACAAACATGTGAGACAATGAGAGGTATTGATTTAATGAGATCTTTTCTCCTTACCTTAAATGAATCATGGCTTCCATGAAGATAAAGCACAATAAAATTCTAGAGAGAAATTAAAAAGTGATTACTTTGAGTCGGATTTTGGAGATGTTATTCAATATTATTCAGATTTACCAATATACACACACACACACACACATATATATATATATATATATATATATATATATTTTGGTAAATCTGATTTTTTTTTTCTTTATTACTCTTTCATTATTCTATTAATTTTTTATTTTTTTTAAAGTAAGGAGAGTTCCCTTACAATTGGGATCTCATTTGCTTGGAGTGATTAGCTTAGTTTGTGAAGCAAGGAAGATTGCTTTTCTTAGATTTAGGATACTAAGTATGTAGAAGGATCCTACCTTTTGAAGAGATATATATATTTTTAAGGTCGAGTGTTGATAATATGATAGTGGGATCCAAGTTTTTAAATAGAGTTCCTCTATCCTTCCTGCAAATCACCACTTTACTAGAACACTTATGGGCCATTTGGTTCAACCAAAGGAATTTAAACAAACGGAAAGGAGAAGAATAATATAATAGAATGTAACTCCCTTTGATTTTCAATGTTATTTATTTTAAATAACAAAGGGAATGGGAGCCACCATGGATCCACCACACACAATCGACCACCTCTTCAATTCTCTTTCTTTTTTTTTCCTGACACCTTGAAGACCCCACACCACCCACCTACCCCACCGCCTCCCATGCCGCCCCTCTCCATTCCTTAGCTGCACCTCCTTGTCCCCGCAAACCACCCATAAAATCTCCCCTCTCCCTAAAAAAACTTCCATATTAACCTCATCTAAACTACTACGTATTTTTTTTATTAGTTCTCTTTTCTCGTAACATTTAAATATATCTCCACTAACTAAACTTTATATTATATAATTCACCCTATAATGCCTACCCTATAAATTTCCTAAAACTATGTGCAAAGTCTTCTATTGCAATTGTTACGAAATGGTAGTAGTAAGCTTTTAGTTTTGAAAATAACTAATCGAGAGAGTTATTTATGTATTGAGTGTAGGCTTTTAGTGAAGCTTGAGTGTGACTAAGGGCCTGTTCATATTTACTTATTTTCAGTTCACTTCAGTTCAGTTTAGTTCAGCTCTAATCAGTTCAGTTCAATTCTTAATTTTCATAAACATTTTCATATATTTTTATGCATTTTAATTTTTCAGTTCAGTTCAGTTCAGTTCAGCTCCAATCAGTTCAGTTCTTAATTTTCATGAACATTTCCATATATTTTTATGCATTTTAATTTTTCAGTTCAGTTCAGTTCAGTTCAGCTCAGCTCAGCTCAGTTCAGTAAATATGAACATGCCCTAAGAGGACTTCAAGGAAGTTCGTGAATTTCGACATGGAACTTGAGTTTTGTCTACAAACTCAAGTGAATAAGGAGTTCTTTTGTATTGAGTTTAGGCTTTGAGCCTTTGAGTAAAGTTTGAGTGTTATTGAGAAGACTCATAGGAAGCTTTGAGAGTTTCAATTGTCTAAGAAGACTCACAAATGTTTTAAAATTCTCAACTTACATTATTTATTTATTTTTTAGTATATTTCCTCTTACTATTATACCTTATATTATTAATAATTCATTTTAATCTAAACCTGATTATGTTTCTAAAACACTGTACCTACTCTAATGTTGCAATTATAGATAGTTACAAAAGTTGAATATGTTGAAAATGTGAACACTAGAACAATCCACCTGATAACAGATACTCAAAGCTTGTTCTACACACTCCAGTAATTTACTCATTAATAATTTTTTTTGACAATTACTCATTAATTTTTGTTCATTGAATAAATGAGCATCATATTTTTTTGCTCAATTATTGAATAAGCAAATTACCCGGGTGTACCCTACACCCGGATGTATATAACAAATTCTAAATTAACACAATTGAATTTTTTTTTTTTCACAAAATTTTTAAAAAAATCGTGTGTACAATAATTATTGTACATCCATTATAAAGATAACCTAAAGTGATTAAAAGTTACCGCTGAAATAAATAAAAGTTACCCCAATATGAGTTAAAGTAACCCAATTCAAATAAAAATTATCTACGCTTCATTAGTAAAGAATCAAATTTTAAATGACTTAAAATCAATTATTAGTGATTGAATGTAATTAAATTACCCTTATAAAACTTTTCTTGTTATTGATTTATATAAAAATTGTATTATGTTTAAAGTTATCCAAAAAAAGACAAAAAGTTACCCTAAAACTAGCTAAAAGTTACCCTTATATTGCTCGATATACATTAATATTAGTGTAAACCGGATGCATACAAAAGTTTTTTTTTTTTTTTTGTTGAAAGCACACAATTGTAACTAATTGCATTTAATTAAAAAAAAAAGAAACGGATAATAAAAAAGTTGGCGCTGAAAATGGACTCAAAAAAGCCCAAATCCCACCTCACCGCTTCTCACATAAATTTATACAATTCCCTCCAAAACCCAAATATTAAAATTTCATAAATCGCTCCAATTTTTTCAAACGTTCAAAACCCCAAAAAAAACTCACTTCTCTCACAAAACTTCCTCAGCACACCAACACGAACACCAACACCTTTTTTCTATTTATTTTTCAAATCTTCTTCCATTCTTCCCTCCATCTCCTCTCCAATTCTCTCTCTCTCTCATCTTGCCTTCTTCTCCGAATATGTCTTCCACTAAATCATTCGTTTCTCTCAGCTCCGCCGTTAATGGCGATGCTGCTTCTGCTAATGTTGTTCCTGGTGAGATTCATCTTATTGTGGGTCCCATGTTTGCTGGTAAATCTACTGCCCTTCTTCGTCGTGTTAAAACCGAAAGCACTAATGGCAGGTATTGTTATTTTCATCTCTTTTTATTTTCTTTAGTTTATATTTGTGGGTTGATCTTAGTTTAGATTTTAGAAATTTCTGTAATTTTGTGTGAATTTGGATTTAATTTATGTTAGGGTTCTTGGGTTAAGGATTAAATTATGATAGAAATTGGGATTTATGGAGATTCTATGTGAATTTGGCAGAGATCTGATGTTAAGTTGTATCAAATTTAACAGAGAATTAGGTAATTCAATTAATAAATAAGGTTTTTTTTTTTTTTTTTTTTTAATAGAGTGTTGATTATATATAAGTAAAATCGAGAGTGTATCTTTTAAGCGTGAATTTTAAATGAAAAAAATTGGTTGCTGATTGATTTTATTTTTGTTAGAACTGTGGCGATGATTAAATCAAGCAAGGATACGAGATATGCGAAAGATTCAGTTGTGACACATGATGGAGTGAGATTCCCTTGCTGGGCTTTGCCTGATCTCTCTTCTTTCCAAGAGAAATTCGGATTTGATGCTTATGATAAGGTATACTCCTGTCTCTTTCCGATTGGATTAATTGTTGCGTTGATAGTGTAATTTGAATTAGTAACCTGACAATTAAATAGTTCATGAATATATTTATGTACACTATTTTATGAAAGTGTTATGTTAGCCCCTGAAATTATATGACTGAACTGATGCAATATCTGAAATCTTTTATTATATCATATGCTTTGTGGCTACTGGCTAGATTGTATTTGTGTTTTAAGCTTATGTTTGTTTGCAGTTGGATGTAATTGGCATAGACGAAGCACAATTCTTCGATGACCTCTACGACTTTTGCTGTAAGGCAGCTGAGAAAGATGGGAAAACCATTGTGATTGCAGGGCTAGATGGTGATTACTTGAGGTGTGAAAGTCTGTCAAACATTTTTTCTGTATAATGTGCTCGAGTTGATCTGAAATTCTGATGTAAATGCTGTTTCTTTTTAATACAGGAGGAGCTTTGGATCTGTGCTGGATGTTATACCGCTTGCTGATACTGTAACAAAGCTGACAGCACGGTGCGAGATGTGTGGGAAGCGTGCTTTCTTCACACTGCGGAAGGTAGGGGAGACGCAGACAGAACTAATAGGCGGAGCTGAGTCATACATGCCTGTTTGCCGCCAGCATTATGTAAACGGGCAGGCAGTAATTGGAGCTGTGCTCGAAACTAGCCACATTAAGAAGGATATTACAGTTCCAGAAGTTCTGGAAGAAACATGTGTCTCCTAATCTGGTTAAGCATCTTCATAAGCGCCCTTTTCTTTAAGGGTGTGAAGGCGTGCATCTACTAGCTATCTCGGCTATTGCTGATCTAGTGGAGTATTCTTCATAGTTCGGTGTATATAGTAGAAAAGTTACTTTTGTGTGGTTAAGTAGTTAGTACTTCCATCTTTCTTAATCACATTGCATTTGCAGCTAATGTTATATTGTTAAATTAAGCCTTATACTTCGTATGTAGCTTTTGTCTCACTTTTTAAATCACGAAGTCAGTACATTAAGATGATGATCCAATTGCAGAAGTGCCCGTTTTACTTCTAATAGTTATAAATAATACTGAGTACTCTCTATCTAGTATCTATCTATTGCTTTGTTCTCTCCTTTTTAATGTACTTTTGCTTCTGTCTACTGAGAGTTCAAATGTGATCGTACTTGTATATTGCAGACAATATTATGGAGTACCTTTAAATGATCTTTTCTGCAGTCAAAGAATTATGTATAAGTTGCCAAATTTTGTTCAAAGATAATATGAAGTACGGAATACTAACTTTCAAGTACGGAGTATTTAAAACTTTCTTTTGGTAACCAACATTTCAGTCCACTAAATTGGCAACTACATCACTAGCTCCACAATTGGAGCCTAAGATGGAAGATATATGGAGTTCAGTTGCAGCGTTTAATAGATTAACTACATAACAAAGTTGCAGATAATAAAATAAAAAAAATTAACATTCAACCTGATATTAGAAGAAGAAAAATTGGAACTCTGATATGTATAGTTTGGACTTTGGAGTGTCTAATAGGCTAAGTGTTGTTTGCAGTTCAATTCCAAGTTCTAAGCCACCAAAAACGTAAATTTAATGGAGTGATGGAGCCATGAGGTGTTTTGGCTTGGGTTAAAGGCCTTAAAGCTAAAAGACACGCTTGTATGCACAACCGCGCATAGCAAGTAACAGAAGGTCAGAACACGAGACAGTCAAAGCTGAAAGGAGGATACCAAGCCTGATTCATAAGTGGCATGCCCGTGCAGATTGTTTCAAGTTCCTGCTTGTTGCTACTATTTGACGATGGGCAGTGGGACATGGCCATACCGCCTAATACTAATAGCATGACACCATCAAATGCTTACCTTCTAATCCCCTTGTGAGTTATGATGACTAGGAGAAACAACCAAGTAAAACTAATAGATAGAAACCTAATAATGATCTACTTGAACACATGTAATTAGAATCACTCTTATCACAAACGTAATCACAAAAATTTCCATAAAATAAAACTTACAAGTAATATTAATTAATGTAAATTAGGAGTTCAAACCTAATCCAACTCTTAAAACCCACAATTAGGCCTAGATAAAGTTAAGTAGGTTCTAATTAAACAGAAACTAATGCTCTAATAAATGATCTCAAACCTAAGCCTAACTATGATGGATAAAGGCTAGTCTTTCCCACCTCAATCAGAAGGTCTTAAATGCATTGAGGTTGATAATTGATAGGATATACGACGTTTATGGCCTTACGAATTATGATGTCATGGATGCAGAGTCTTGTAGAGATAATCTTATGCTAAGGTTGAGTATTAGAGTACAAAGTAAGCAACAACCTTTATGTGCTCATCAAGAGATAGCACATATCATATTCACGAAGTATAGCACTAAATTTGATTGATTGATAAAATGAAAGTATATACAAAGTAATATCTGCCTTTTCCTGAACTTATGATTCACTCAACACAGAAAAATGCATTTCTAATTTTCTATTCAGATCTTGTTCTGGTATTATACCATCGTTAAATCCTACTGTGATTAATTGCTGCATACATGAACAATAACATTATTGGTCATCAATCCATAGATTGAGACACTTGGCTACTTTGACTTTATATACATGCTTTGACAAATTGATCAACTAAGTTGTAAAATTACGACGAGCTATTGTTACTAGCATCATCATCATCAACTTCTGCGAAGTTGTTACCATCATCATCATCATCATCATCTACTTCTGCGAAAAAAGGGTCCTTGAGGAGTTCAGAGGCAGAGGGTCTTTCCCTAGGCTTTGCGATGCACTTATCAATGAACGCTTTCACCTCTGGATCGTTCACCTTGTCAAAAGACCGGGGCTTAATTCCAGTAGTCACCTTCTTGTATATCTTGGCAATACTATCACACTCGCAGTAAGGAATTTCCATAGTCACCATCTCCAGCAAACACATCCCAAAAGAGTATATGTCCACCACTTCTGTATAGTCTTCCTCATACAGCTCCGGTGCCATGTACTCTGGTGTACCCAGTATCGAGTGTGCTACATGACTCTTACCCACTATTGCTGCCAAGCCAAAGTCACCAATTTTCACCTGCATAAACAAGCAGCAAAAACCTGGTCAATGGAAACACAAACTAACATAGATTCGTTACATCAAAGGTTACATAACAGGCCAATAATTTGACTCAATAGTCTCAATTAACCCCAAATCAATATACATAAAGGACAAATTAATGAAGAAATTATGGTACAGTTTCTTAATTCGATCAGTTTTCTATGCATGTGCTATATGTCATTTGATCATATTTTAGATAGCAGATTCGATAGTGGTTATTTCAATCATAAGGGGGCCAACACAGAGAGTATTGCATCTTCCATTCACAATTCACAAGATTCATTGAACAGCTGACAACTATGAAGCAATGATCATGCTTATTTATGGGCATATAGCAGTATGGCTAGCTTAAAAACACAGGAATAAGGACCAAACTCAGAAAGATGCAGTCAGAACAAAATTTTAAGAGACAGGATCACAGGATAGACTATATACCTCGCCAACGTTCCCATTTATAAATATATTGCTGCAGTTAAGGTCCCTGTGTATAACACAGGGTTCAAGAGTATGCAGGTACTCCAAACCCTTGAGCACCTGCTTCGACCATTTCTTCAAAGCTCTGATCGACACATGACGGTGTTTCTTTCGGTACTCTCTCAGGTTCCCTGAAGTACAAATCTCGGTAATGAAGTTCAATGTGTTATGCTCAACATCCCTCCAAACATGATACAAGGTGATGATATTGTTGTTCCTCAGCTTGCTCAGCAGCTGAACTTCCTTCACTAGTCGATCAATCACTGATGGATCTTGGCTGAAATTCTTTAGCTTCACCTGGTTCCAAGCAACCTCTCTTCCTTCCTCCTGATCGAAAGCTCGATACACTCTCTTCACAGCTCCCGCTCCAAGAAGGTCAGGATACCGACCAAACCGGGCAGTAGGATCAAGCTCCTCGAATGGTTCTTTATCACCCTCAGGTGGGTCAAGACTCTCACAAGTCATCTCAGAAATATGTGATTGTTGGAATGAAAATATCAAGCTCTCTCACACAACTCTCCTACATGAAACACAAACAAACAGGTCCATTAATAACTGCTCAACTCGTTTAGACAAAAGGGTAGCGGTTTGAATCCAGATTAGTCGGAGTTTAATAGGATTTTGGTATATCCCATAAATTTAGAGCTACCATACTTTTTCACATAATCTCTTTTCATATAAAAAATCATCACATGCCCATATATGTATTTTACATATATAACATACATGTAACTTTTACAGCAATAAAAACTAAAACTAGAAAAAATCATTGTAGTAGTATTGATGGCTAAAATTATGGCAAAAAAGTCAAAGAAATGAATTAAAATTGTCAAACAACATGAAAATTCAAACAATAAACAGTCAACAGATAATATTGAACAAAGTCAAAATTCAAAACCCCACAACATCTCATAACAAAATCAAAATTCAAAACCCCACAATAAAATTCTACAAACATGCAGAAAAATCTTTAAAAAATGTAATTACGAGCAAATTAGTGGGAAAAACACAAGTATAATTACCAGAATTGAGAAAACGAAATAGTGAAAATAAAAAAAATCGGAAAAATGATGGGAAATAGCAGAAAGAAAATGATGAAATTGAGGAGAGGAGAGAGAAAGAGTACCGAAAGGCGGCGGCAGAAGAATACTGTTACGTAGTGAAGAGAGAGAAAGAAGAGAGAGAAACGGAAGGGTGATGGGTGTAGAATGTAGAAGAAACAAGGCGTGTTAACTGCCGAGGTATTTATAGACTTGTATAGAGTGACAATCTGACAAAGGTTGTTTTTATTTTAAATTTTAATTGAGACTTGGATTTATACTTCCTCCGTATTTAAAACCAACCCCTTTATTTCGGGATTCTTTTATCCTTTAAAATATGGAGTACCCTTCATTCCTAAATCACAAATTCTTATGATGGTTGGTCAAAGGATTACTTTGTTAGTATAATATGGATTAAATGAGTTACTTTATTAGCATTATAGGGTTATTCAGTCGGTGTTATAATACTTATAGGGATTACTCAGCCAGTGTTATAAGGTTACTTGGTCAGTGTTATAAGGGTTATTTTACTTTTTTAAATGGTCACACGAAGTGGCTAGCCACACACAAGACGAGTTGTTCCTAAATATAGTTTTTATTTGAGTCAAACTTTGAAAACTTTAATTATATTTAAATGTTCATATATACTCCCTTCCTTTTTAAAATACTTGCTCCATTTCTCCATGCGCGGAGTTTTAGGAGAAATTGGAGAAAGTAATAAAATATAGAGGTAATGGGGTAGTTGAGAGAATAAAAAATTGTAAAAAGCAAAAGTAGTGGAAGAATAAGAAGAGAGAGTATTATGTTGGGTCCACTAAGTGTGAGAAATGAATTAAATATTATAAAACCTTTTTTAAAAAAAGAAATGGAGCACGTATTTAAAAACGGCCGGAAAAGGAAAGTGGAGCAAGTATTTAAAAACGGAGGGAGTAAGTGATTATAGGTTCATGTGAGATCATTAGATTTGTCACATTGTATATTTTATTAATAATATCAAGTATAATTTTTACGCGCATGAAAATAGAGATATAGGCGTTTTAACATCGGATAAAGCTCCTGAGAGCTCTTGAAAACCGTAAAAAGTCAAACGAGAACTACATTTAAGAACGGAGGGAGTATTATTTGTAATTTGGGGTATAATTTATGAGATATAATATGTTTCAGAGTAGTATAAACTATAAAGTAGGATGACAATGGGTCGGACTCGAAGCAGATTATGCTAAATCCGATCCTACAGGAAGTCAGAGGCTAAATCCGACTCCGAGTGTTTTTTTCGTTATTCAACATACTTTGAGAAATTGGGTTATTTGGGCCTTTACAACCCACACCCAATGCCACCATGACCCAACAAAAATCCACTATCTATCGGAGTCAGAGTCCGATAATATGTCAGAATCGGACTTTTATTGGAGTCGGATTTTTTTCTCGGATTTTTATAAAGATCCGACTCCGACCTTCCTCCAACTTGGAGTCAAATTATTTTAACGGAGTCGAACTCGAATTACTTTTTTCTCGAGTGGATTTTTTACCTCGAATCAGGGCGGAGTAGGGTCGGATCCGGATTGAATTGCCAATCCACATGTGTTACTCTTATATATTGTATATTTGCTTCATTATTTTTACAAGATATGGTATTGAAATCAACCAATGAATTACAAGTATTATTCTTTTCGTTGTTGTTGTTTCCAAATGAGCTTCTTATGCTTTATGAGATGTGAAAGCATTAGTCTCATCTTAGCTAAAAAGTGTTTTGGTAACACGAGCCCTAGCTACACAACAATGTAACACTAAACTTGGATGATAATAGGTCGCATCATCGCATACTAAAGGATGCCATCATTGCCATGTGTTGAGGTTATGGAATAAGAATAATCCCAATTTTATGTTTGCCATAGTCCATAGAGTTGGTGTACATACACGGCCTCTACATTTTTTATTTTCCATTAGGAAGGATTTCATACTAGACTTCAACCCTTGTTATATTTCAAGACTGTACACATAGCATATACAAGTTAGACACTTAAAAATCGTGGAGAAAGTAAGAGAATCTCTACCCATGTCTCAAACACCGCATGTCATTTTTTGTACTATCATGTAATTAAGTTTTAGTACTTTTTGGGTTAAGCTAGAGCTTATAAGGGTTTAGTTCATCACTCCAAGTATAATTTTTTCGTACAATGAACCCATCTCCCCCATCTTTTGTTAGAGCTTTTTGGGTCAAATGATATAAAAAAATAAAGGCCATATAATTCCAAGTTAATTGTGTACTAATTGGCAACATTTCTTGGTTAATTACTCTTAATGATGATAAAATTCTACAGTACATTTTAAGTTCAATACGTAAGCCAATTTCTTATGGAACATCTTTGCTTATGACTATGTTAATTAGGCAATTAGCTAATCAATACTTAGAATATTAATCGTAAAGTTCTAATAAGGTAGAAAGTGAATCCATTCAAAAAAAAAAAAAAAAAAAAGGTAGAAAGTGAAGATTTGATATAGGGTAAGATCACGCAGAATCCTCTTTATGAAGTACTAGCATGAGGCAAGATTTAGGATGCAAAGAAAGGGAAGAAGTAAAAAAGGGCATACAAATACAAGTTGCTTGAAGACCCATTACATAGCTTGTGATTTTATCAATTGCCGACTTTCTTTCTTACTTGTTGTGTTATAGGTATTAACAGTACTCAGTATTGATTTCTCTGGAAACACTTCAACTTTCTATAAAGCACTAACCTTCAATTCTCGTGAACAAATGTACGTTTACAAGTACTACAATTGGTTAGTTGGGTTAATCTATGATTTGTTGTTATATATTTTCTTTGATTTTTATGTATGTATACTCTTCCTCTTGTAGAGCTAGAGTGTACTCGTGATGATGCGCACAAGCATCTACAAGTAAAGACTATTTTAGTAATTAGAGGTGGAAAGTTTAGTGTTAAGTATGATCATTTGGAGAGTCTGGGATATATATGTAATGTTTATTTGAAAAAATCGAGATTGGGTGTATAAATTTTTACATGGGCATTCGGAGAATTTCCAAATGCCGGTTAAAAGTTTATTACTAATTCTATATTTACGTATAGGATATGATAGAATGCATTATATGATTAACAAACTTCATCTTTTAGAACACTAATCTAATTTTAAAGATTGATACAACATTAATTGATCACAAACTTCTTGTGGTTGGCTATACTATGTGGCCAGCCACATAATTTTGGGTTACTTGGTTGGGCATTACTCGGTTAGTTAAGGGTTACTCACTTGGTCAGGTTTTTTGCAGTCAGAGGTTACTGTCGTGGGTTACTCGGCCAGTTACTCGTGTATTAGCTGGCCACACACACAAAAGTTGCTAGATATGTGTTGTTTATTTTCTCATTTGGATTTGATATTTAAATTAACTAATTGAAACTATCATGATTGATTCAAACATGGTCAAAATCAAGTCTAGGACTAGGTATATATTGTGGCAACATGTAAAGTAGCAACTTAAAAAGCAAAAATCAAAGTCACGCACTGTATCTAATTATATCTAGGTGAAACTGAATCAGTTTCCGTGGTTATGTTGCTAATTAACAAGATACAATGTATCCATACTTTCAGGCTTAAGTAAGTAAACCAAAGCCCAGATATCAGCAATCAACCAAACTATGAGATTGTGCTGTCCAAGTGCTTCTAACTTAAATGCAAAACATGTGAAATCATGTGATTTTCCTTAGTTGAACCCCCCCTTCAAGCATGAATGAATTAATTGATTAACTCTAAATATTTGAAAAATAATCTAAAAGAAGATCAAAGCAAACTTCTGAAGAATAGTGTCGATATGCTCTCATCACTGGTTTAGAGATGAATTAGAATCACGTAAACAACATTCTGTCTTAGTATATTTAGGGGTGTAGAGAGTACGATTAAAGATCAAAACTACAACTGTAAAAGAAGTAGTTAAGCCTCAATCCACTTGGGTGGAATCATGAGCATTTAAACAAACCATTGTTAAGCTAGCAGTACCTGTCACTGTAAAGTGATTCACAACGAAATGTAAAGTGACAAACAGTTACTGATACTGCTCAAGTAGGCAGGAAATGGAGTAACTAACTAACTGCTTTTCGAAACGAATTACAACAGTACAACACCACTGGAAGCTAGAACTCATAATCTTTTGATTAATTTGCCAGCTATTGAACAAACAAACTACAGAAACATAACATATGCAGAGCCAGCCATGATAATCTCTACATGATTAATGCGGTCCAACTACGAAATCTGAGGGCACAAAAAACTGCTTTTCAAAGGTTATGGACTCTCTGAATTTCCTACACTCATGCTTCACATGAATCACAAAGGTATATTTCTGCAGTCAGGTTTATTGATTATACATGAGTTATCTAATGAACATGATCAATGAAAGATAAAAGGCGGTAGTCACTCATGAATGTAGTAAAATCAGTAATTTGAAGACCTAATACTCTCCTGAAAACCCGCAATCATAAAGAAGCACAATTAGTATATCAGCATGCAAAATGAACAAGTTCCAGAAAAATGGCAACCTCTCTCAAATAAGCTCTTTGCGTTAAGGAATTTCCCAGGCAAATCCCAATCTCCTCAACTCCTGCTGTACATGTTTTTTTCCTACCCGATGAGAATTTGCTATACTAAATTAGTTCCTCTGACTTGCTAGTTCCCGAAATTTCGGATTGATGAGTTCAAGCCACCGACCCAACTAATACAATAATACGCCATTACTCACAGGATATCTATCTATAAACAAAGGACAGTAATATCGAAACTGTTTGTCATTCAAAATAGAATACATTTCTACTCAAATGCTAAATAAATATTTAAATGCACAAGAAAATTGGAAAACAGTCCACTACAACTTAATGACTTATCACTTATCCTTTGCTTGTTCCTAAATCCAGAGTTCTATATTGGACAGAGTGAGAAGTGAGAAAGGTCTTGAAGCTGGCGGTTAGGTCGGTTACTGCACGTCTAAGCTAAAGCAAGATGGACATTTATTATATTATTAACAGGTTAAAGTGATTCACAAATTATCGCGAATCACATGTAACAATAGACATTTCCAATATTATTAAGAAGTTAAGGTCATTCACAAACTATCGAGAATCACATGTAATAAAAACTAAATATAATATCATACAGACATAACACTGAAACTCTTATTCATGAAACTTCAGCAGTAATCTAAACAGGCGCAGCTCAAGGCATGCTATCTCATACACTCTGAATCCTGATTGGGATATTGTTC